GATTGGAAAATTGGAGACAAGGATTTATGGGGAAGAGGTATGTGGATAGACCTCTCTGAATGGGCCAAAGAGGTGAAGATGTTTGTGTCTCCTGTGAATGCTCACCAAAGAGTGACTTCAGCATAGGAGGATTTTAACAATCAAATGGATAATGTTCTGTACAAATGAGTTATCCTCTATCCCCAGTCACTCCTGTCATTGCTCAATGGGCTCATGAAAAAAGTATCCATGGTGGCAGGGATGGAGGTTATGCATGGGCTCAGCAACATGGACTTCCACTCACCAAGGCCGACTAGGCTACAGCCACTGCTGAGTGCCCAGTCTACCAGCAGCAGAAACCAACACTAAGTCCCTGATATGGCACCACTCTTAGGGCCAATCAGCCAGCAACCTGCTGGCAGGTTGATTACATTGGACTGCTTCCATCATGGAAAGGGCAGCATTTTGTTCTTACTGGAATAGACACTTCTCTGGATATGGATTTGCCTTCCCTGCAAGCAATACTTCTGCCAAAACTGCCATCTGTGGACTTACAGAATGCCTTATCCACTGTCATGGTATCACACACAGCATCACTCAGATCAAAGAATTCACTTCCTAGCAAATGAAGTGTGGTAATGGGCCCATGTCACGGAATTCACTGGTCTTATCATGTTCCCCGTCATCCTGAAGCAGCTGTCTTGATAGAACGATGGAATAGCCTTCTGAAGACACAATTATGACACCATCTATGTGGCAATACCTTGCAGGATTGGGGCAATGTTCTCCAGGAGGCTGTATATGCTCTAAACCAGTGTCCAATATATGGTGCTGTTTCTCCAATAGCCAGGATTCAAGGGTCCAGGAATCAAGGGATGGAAATGGGAGTGGCACCACTCACTATTACCCCTAGTGACCAACTCACAAAATTTTTGCTTACTGTCCCCATGACCCTATGCTTTGCAGGTCTAGAGGTCTTAGTTTCAAAGGGAGGAATGCGCCCATCAGGAGACACAACACTGATTCCACTGAACTAGAAGTTAAGAGTGCTACCCAGCCACTTTGGGTTCTTCATGCCTCTGGATCACAGGCAAAGAAGGGAGTTACTGTATTGGCTGGTGTGATTGATCCTGATTACCAAAAGGAAATTGGATTGATATTACATAATGGAAGTAAAGAAGGGTATGTCTGGAATACAGGAGATCCCTTAGGACATCTCTTAGTACTACCATGTCCAATTTTTGAAGTCAATAGAAAACTACAGCAACCCAATTCCAACGTGACTACTAAAGGCCCAGACCCTTCAGGAATAAAGGTTTGGGTCACCCCACCAGGCAAAGAACCACAACCAGCTTGCTGAGGGCAAAGGGAATATGGAATGGGTGGTGGAAGAAGGTAGTTCTAAATACCAGTTATGACCACATGACCAGTTGCAGAAACAAGGACTGTAATTGTTAAGTGTATTTCTCCCTTGTATGTATGCATCAAATATTGTTGTTGTCTTCACTTATAAAATGTAAGATGTAAACAGGCTAGTGTGGTTTTGTTTTATGCATGTTAGTTCTATCATGTTATGTGTAAGCATGGCTTTGTAATTATCTTTATTTGGAGACTGTGTATGGTTTAGGGAGATGTGTACAGGTGCCAGGTTGACAAGAGGTGGACTATGAAGGTTAAGGTTGTGATGGTTAAGGACTTGGCTGCGCCATGATTCTCAGTGGTTTGGCAGTTATGTAATAATGTAGTCTGGCAGTTATGTACTGATGTAATTTGGCAGTTATGTAATGATATAGTTATCCTCCATTTTGTGAGAGTCATGTAATCACCTCCATGATGTGATCTGATGTGATCAGCCAATCTGTTGTAAGGGAAGATTCCTTGGGGTGTGGTCTACATCCAATATATATGGACATTTTGGCAAAGCTTGCTGCCTTTTGCTCACTCTGGAACCTGCATCCAGCTCGTCATCATCTGACCTCTGGTTCTTGACACTTCAACCAGCAGCCTGCCGTATTGCCTGACAATCCTAGGTTCCTCATATCCTGCAGCTACATGAGTCAAGAGAAGCCTCCAGCCTGGTGCCTGACCCACAGACTTGGGACTTGCCAGCCTCTACAAGCATATATATATATATATATAT